TTTTGTATCTTTAGTTAGAGACGGGTTTTCACCATGTTTGGCCAGGCTGGTTTCGAACTCCTGACCCCCGTGATCCAGCCCCCTCGGCCTCCCAAAGTGCTGGGATTACATGTGTGAGCCACTGTGCCCAGCTGGATAACAGTAATTCTTGATGGAAAGTCATTCACCTATTGCTGAGCTGTTGCCAAGTTGTTTGTGCTGAAGAAATATAAGAGGAATGGTTGGATGTGAATGTAATATTTGGACATTAGGGAAATGATTAAATAAATATGGCACTCCTGCATCTGACCAGATTTTTATTCTTCCTTTGCTGATAGTGGCCTGCTGTTCGCTCTTCCAAGTGTCTTTACTAGTGGAGACTTACTTCTCATGGGCTGTGTTAGTAGTTCTTAGAAAATCTTTGAATAACAACACTAGAAACAAAATCATTCTAGTTAGCATTTCCTCGAAAGTACATAGTTATAGCTACTTCTTTTACTCAAAATAGTATATTCAAAACTAAACCTATTTGACCATCTCGTAGTTCTCAGTTTTTATTTGTTTGCTGGTCATAATAATAATAATCTTAAGGAAGCCCTTCGTAATTGGACATTGCTCAGAGGTGATGCTGGAGAAGGGAGGATAGGTGTTATTTTAATTCTGAGACACCTTGCATGCTAGACTGAAGTTATACAGTACAAGATAAGCTATGGAGAACTATGACAGTTATTGTTTTGATTGTCTATTATTGTGCTACAATCTACCCTGAAACTCGATGACTCAAAACAACAGTGTATTATTATCTCTCATGATTTTGTGGGTTGATAAGGCTCAGCTAGGTGGTTCTCATTTTGGGGCCTGTCATGCAGATGTAGCCAGACAGCCACTAACTAGAGTTGACTGGCCTAACATCCAAGATGGTGCACCCCATGGCTGGAATGTACTGTGGCTGACTGTTGGGGCTGTGGATTGGAGCACCTGTGCATGGTCTACATGTGGCTCAAGCTTCCTAACACGATGGTGGTCTTGGGACAGTTACGGTCTTTACCTGGCAGCTCAGGGCATCAAGACTGAGTGTTCTAAGAGGCCCAGGAAGAACCTGAAAGGCTTTTTATTATTGAGTCAGAAATCCCAGAAAATCAATTCCACCACATTCTATTGGTTGAAATTGTTTGAACAAGTCACTAAGCCAGTCCAGATTCAAGAGGAGGAAAATTAGACTCTATCTCTAGATTAGATGAGGAGCAAAGAATTTGCAGTTATCTCTAGTTTACTACATTGATCTTATTAAAAGGAAGCCACCTAGAGAAAATACATTGACAGTTATATTCAGGAAGATTAAAAGGTTGAAAGACTCCAACATGAAAATCTAGATTTTGGAAATTGATTGTGTAAAAGGAAAAGTGACAAAACTTAGAGATCAGTTACAAAAAATTGCAGAAAACCAAAGATTGGTGGGACTGTGTGGAATTACAAGGGAAAGAGTATTAAATTTAAGAATAAGTTTAAAAAGGGTTGTATTCTTGTCACATGTCTGGCATATGATGAAGCACAGAGGTTAGAATAGGCACTTCTTAGATGATGGGAAGGGCTGCCTCTTGGGTGGCCATGGACAGTTCATTTCCTGGTGCTTCAAATTTTATGTGTTAAAGCAATCAGAAGCCAGTGACATGAGAGACAGAGGCCAACAATCAGGTTCTGTTAGGTGCAATAGTACTTGGATGTCGTCAAGTCTATTGGCCTCTGGAACTTACTGTGCTTTATCTGTTAACATGAGAAAAACCAGGTGCAAGAAGCCTCTTTCAGTCATTTGCCTTCATTGAGCAAGATTCAAGCTGCAATTAGAACAAACAGTTGGCTGGTCTGCCTGTCACTTATGTCTTATCTTCCTTCTCTTATTAAAGAGGTTAAGAAATGGTTTACTGCCTGTGACCGCCTTATGAAATATGTCACACTTTCTCATCAGCTCTTATTTCCTGTTCACATGTGGCTTTCTGGTTGGTAAAGGTCTTATTAAATCAGAGGAATTTGAATGGAAAGATGATCATAGTAGCCCACCACCAATTGCCTAGAGAAAGGGAGAGTGTTCAGTAGATTGAAACTGAGAAGTTGTAGTGAGAAAGAGTAAGGCGAAATGTAGATAAGAAAATAGTTACTTGAAAGTCAGCAGATGGAAAATGTATGAGAGGTGGGAAAACAAACCTAGGCTGTAGAAGGAAGTCCATCTAGGACAGTGGTTTCCAATCTGTGTTGTGGTTCTGTGAGAGATTACCGGCAGTGCCATAAATAACAAAAATATGTGTAGCAAATTAAGAATCACAGAGGCCCTCTGTGCAAAAATGTAATTTTCTTTATTTCTTTACAATTGAAGTCAACTTGACTTAGGAATTCTCATTCCCACCTGATGGTAGAAAAAGATCTCGCTAATTTAGAGTTGTTTTGTCTCCACTGGTTCAAGACTCAGTCTCTCTGGGAGTAGGAACACAATCTCTTCAGAATTCTTTCCTTCCAAACCCTGCATTTGTTTTTTCTGAAGGATCAATGGAGTTCTTTGCAGGTGGTGGGGCTGAAGTGGACAGAGCTGAAGAATGGTTGTCCTGGTGTCCCAGGAGGGGTTCTGGTCCGTGAGTTATCCTCCGTTCTTGAAAACTTCAGCTAGGACCATGCTTGTCCCATCAGACTAAGTCCAAGGGCTCTTTGGTCTTCTTAGCTTCTTCACTGCCCCCTTTGAGTGTCTGGGGACTCTCAGCTGCTTTACCTGAACACTCTGGGATGCACTGGACTTTTCTCGAGGCAGCCTGTCCCGAGGCCCAGGCATATCTGCTGCCAGGCCTGCTCTTTGGCTCAGGCCATGTTGGACACAGGGCTTTGCTATGACCCTGGTGAAGTCCAGAACTAGGCCTGGGAAACCAAGTGGCATTCCTCTCTTCCAGTCTTCTCCATCAACCTCTTCCCTCAGGAGGAGTCCAGGTGATGCAGTCTGGATATTTGTCCCTGACCAAATCTCACGTTAAAATGTAATCCCGAATGTTGGAGGTTGGGGCTGGTGGGAGTTGGCTGGATCATGGGGGTAGATCCCTCACAAATGGCTTGGGCCATCCCTTTGGTGATAAGCGAGCTTTTGCTTTGAGTTCACATGAGATCTGGTCATTTAAAAGTGAGTGGCACCTCCCGCACCTCTCTCTCACTTCCTCCTGCTCTGACCATGTGACGTACCTGCACCTCCTTCATCTTCTGTCATGATGTTAGTTTCCTGAGGCCTCCTCAGAAGCCCAGCAGATGCCAGTGCCATGCTTCCTGTATAGCCTGCAGAACCATGAGAGAATTAAACCTCTTTTCTTATAAATTACTCGGTTTCAGGTTTTTTGTTTGTTTGTTTTAACAGCAACGTAGGAATGGCCTAATACACCAGGATTTCTCTTGTTAGGTGGTGCTGAAGAGTGGAAACTTTGAGTCACCCCTCAGAGACCTTTCAGGGTCTAGTAAACAGCAGCCTCCTCCCTCTGCTTCTCCCCTTCCCACCTGCTGATCAACTCTGTTCCTTGGAGTGGGAACAAAAACAAATAGCTTGACATTATCACACATTCTTCTGTACTCCATGGTTTATGATGTAAACGTTATGGTCTAAGTTGTCCAATACTTTGGCTTTGGAGGTTCAATGAAGAAAAGCATAAAATACTTCTTCTTTCAAGCCTAGCCTTAATGTTTATAATGGACAGTCTTTCAGAATGTCCTGCCACATGTGCCATAGGAGATGTTTTATTTTTCAGGCATTGGATTATGTTGTGTCGGTCAATATGATTTTGTTTCATGTGCATTATCAGAGACTCTTCCCAAAGAGGGGTCCTGGGATCTGATCAGCTAGACCAGTGGAGGAGAAACTGAAAACCATCGGGGGACAGGGTCTCAGTCAAGTCTCATGAATGATAAGCATTTCAGAGGTGGGGGAGAGACACCCCGGAAGGTGTCCAGAGGCTAAGAATGCTATTTCTGTGTCTTGTAAGTTTTTGTCCAAGAGGTGGACCATTGGATTGCGTCACTAGTATACAATGTCAGTGTAAGCGGTAGGCTTTGCAGTGAAGCATGTTGATGTGCTCTCAGAGCATTTTTGTGGTGCTGAGATAGGGATACAGGGATTATAGTCTCTACCTTATGGGAACCTCCTATCCAGGGGATGGAGTGAGGCAGGCAGGCACACCAATTATCCAAGGAAAGGAAATAAAGGGAAGGAGAGAGTCAGTGAAAGTGGTCAGGACAACTGAGTGAGGGAGAAGGTGACTTCAAGTCCCAAATAGAACAGTGGTTATCAGGTGAGAAAGAGGAGGTCTTCCAATTCCATTTCTGTGTTGGGTGGGTGTTTGAGAGTCCTACCGGGGTCTAGAGGCCTGCATGTCTAGCAGGACACCGGGCAGGAGTGGCTGGAAGGGGACAACACGTACAAAAGAGAAAAATTGTAGATTTTATTTCTACATGGTTGCACAAATCAATTTCACTTCCTACTTGTAAACTGCTTAAAAACCTTTGTTATGTAAATGGAAAGACGAATTCGTGTTCACCATCATAGTGCTTCTGGGCTGGTTCCACAGCATCCAGCCAGGCTCACCTGCTGTAGCTTTCAGAACTGCCATTTGAACATGTGGTTAAAGCGGCCTTCAGTTGGAGGATTCACAGTAATGGCATCACTGTAGGAGCTTAGAGGAACAACTGCTTGCAACCCTAGCTGCACACTGGAATCACCTGGGAGCTTTACCAACACTGCCTTTGGGCCTCAGCCCCAGAGACTCTGATGTAACTGATCTGAATACAGGAGTGTCATGTGCTTCTGTGATTCTGAGTGGAGTCAAGGCTGTGAGATCCTCTGCTGTGTAAAGGAATATTGAGAGCTGGGATTGTGAAGGAATTCTCATCATGCTACGTCACTGGCCTCTGATGAAAGCCTGCTTTCTCAAGAAAAAGGAACCATAAAAGCTTCTGGAACCAGATTGTTTAAGAATGAGAAATTGTCATCTTGCCAGGTTGTAAGACAGCTTTTAGGGCAGATGAGCTTCTTTCTGCTGCTCATTCCTTCATCTTTTCCTCCAGCCTGGAGTTGTTCCGGGACAGCTGAGGCTCAGGGTACCTCAATTCTTGAGTGTTTAAAGGGGCATATCCAGGGGTGGATTAGGCGAGCAAGAGCCTGCCCAGTCTGAAAGGGATGCAGGAAGGGGCGGTGTGTACTAGAAGGAAGGAAGCTATCATCATTTATTAAAAGTCTTCTTGGAGGATGGCCCATGAAGACCTCTAAACAAGCTGGAGGGGCCAGTCACTTGCTGAAGACCAGCGAAGTGGAGGGGAAAAGCCTGAGGGAGCTGCAGACTTGACCACAGCGCCCTCCCCTCCCCTCCCTGCAAGGAACCCAAGGTGTGATCCTGCCAGGCGTTCGCTGCATGACCTTGGCCATCCTTCCATTCCCCTGGGTGTGAATTCTCATTGACAAAGTGAGCTGGTGGGCATAAATGGGTTTGAAGTTTAAAATTTTAAAAACCCTGTCTGCCCCCAAGTGTGGTATCAAGATGTTATGGTATGACACTTAAATTGCTTTTTTCATCCGGGCGCGTAACAGCAACAATGAAACCAGCAGATGACGCGTGAGTAGTATCAGCTCTGGGCCTGGCACTATTTTATATATATTAGCTCATTTTTCTTTTACTGTTCTCAACCACTCCGGAGATGAGATGAGTGCTGTTATGATCCCTTTTCACAGAAGAGGAAACGGAGGTATAAAGAAATTAGTGCACAAAGCCAGTCGGAGAGAGCCCGGGGCCAGGCACCAAGCTCCAGAGGTCGCTCTGGCGAGCGTTTGCTTCGGGATCTGATGCCCTGCAGTCGCCACCTCAATTCGCGGGTCGCCGCCAGGCTCCATGGGGGTAGTAGAGCCAGGTCGTGGTGGCTAGGTGAGTTGTCTCAACTAACTCTAGTGGAGCCGCCGCAGCCCTGGAGGAGCCGGGCCGCGACTCGGGAGCGCGCGGCCGCTCTCCAAAGTTTTGGAGCCGGCGGGACTCCTGCGGGCTGCCTGAGGCAGGGCGGCGTCCGGAGGGGTCTGTCCAGCTGTCCCTGCTCCTCCGGGTGGCGAGCTGGGGACACCCGGCCAGCGAGCTGGGGACACCCGGTCACCTCGCTCGCCGCCAGCGGACTGGCCCAGCCGAGCTGTCTCCGCCCGCTCCCCGCCCCCGCAGCGGCGGGGCTGGAGCCAGAGCCGCGCCCGGCAGTTCCCGGCCGCGAGGGCGGGCGCAGCTACTGCCCGCCGCCCGGAGCCGACTCGGAGCGCGCGGCGCCGGCCTGGAGGAGCCGGAGCGCGGCCCGGCCGGGCAGTGGGGGCGCCGGCCTGCCCCGCGCGCCCCGGGGAGCGGCAGGAATGTGACAGTCGCGCGCCCGCGCTGCGAAGCACTCCTCGCTCGGCGCCTAAGGCTCTCGCCCCTCCGAGCTGAGCCGGGTTCCGCCGGGGGCTGGGATCCCATCACCCTCCAAGGCCGCCAGTCCAGGTACGAGGAAGCTGGAGCATCCGGGGACTAGGTAGGGGTGAGACGGACCCGGCCTTGACACCTAGGAGTGCCCCGCTCTGCAGGGCGCCGTGAGCGTCCTCCGTGAGTGGTACTTGGCTGTCAGAGTGTGTTGTGTAAGAAGGGATGGCAGTGAGGTCTGCTTGTGCTTCCTGTGTGGAGCAGGAGTTAACGTTGTTCAGGTCGTTGGAAGGAACTTGCAGATTGTTCTGGAGGTGGGTTCTAGTAGGTGTGTTACTTCCCGTGTGAATGGCTGTCAGGTTTTCTATCTGGCTACGTTCTACAGGTTCGGGAGGGTCCCTCTTAGAGGTTAGACTCAGGACGGTCAGGCTCCTTAACAAGGTAAGGGCTGAGGCCTTAACCGTACTGGGAAGGGTAAGTTGTTGCCCCTCCAGATAAAGAATGGTGCTAGGGAATGTAGCTACGAGCAAGTAGGCTCTGAGAAGACACTCATTATTTACAGCAGGCATGCCCAGCACTTTACAGTTTTTAAGACTGTTTACAGCGACTGGTCTTTTATCCTCCCTACAGTCTTGTGAGGAGGGTGCTGTCATCAGCCCTGTTTTTCAGAGGAGGAAGCAGAAGCTTAGGTGACTAACTTGCTGGAGGATGATGTCTTGAAGGAGGGTAAGACCTCTGCATCCACGCTCCTCTGTCTTCCCTCCCACTCGCCCCTGCCTGCAAGGGCTTTCTCCTCCGCACTGCCAGGAGGAAGGCAGGCCGCTGGGAAGCCATGCAGATGCTGGCTCCAGGGTGGGGTGGCTGTCCACTGCGCTATCTTTGGGGCAGGGTATCTCCTCAGATGGGCACATTCCTGTGATTTAGCTCTGCATTCTAGGAACTGAAGCAAGGGACACCATGAACTTGGGCTCCTGATGCCAAGGAGCAAGGGTCCACTTGTCACAGGAATGTGATGGATGTCTCAGTCACTGCGGTTTGGTGCCAGGCTTCTGGAAATTGAATGTGTGAAACAGAATTCCATGACTATGGATGATCTGAGGAAAGCCAGAGGTGGCATGGGGACGTTCACTGTCCTTTTTGCCATTCAGTTTACCAAGCGGCTATTGGCGTTGTTTTCTTTCTCAATCCCTTCTAATTTATTGTGTGATATCTCACTTGATATTTCACTTAATATTCTGTATTCATATCCGACGTTAACGTTTATGCTAGACAGAAAGGTAGAACCTTTGGGAATGGGGTTTGCTGGGGCAGGGATGTGGAACTCTGATTTATTTTCAGTCTCTGGCTAGCTGCCAAGCTGCTGTGTGTGACGCTTCTCCTGCACCCGTCCGCCCTCATGTGGCCTCCATTGCTGTTCAGGAAAGGGTATTTGATCTGAATTCTTACATGACCTTGGCAGGCCCAGAGCAGCACCCCCGCCCCCCTCGTTTCTAATAGTCCCTGCTTGTATGTCATAATGTGACATCAAGTTTTTTTTTTTTTTTTAATGGTTCTGAAACCTGTGACATGTTTTGAGTCAACCTCTCACCATTGGTGAAACACTGCTTAATATTAGATTCACTAATTTATTAAAGATTTATTGACTATCTACTATGTGCCAGGCACTGTGGTGAGTGGTGGGGAGACAGCAGTGAATACAACAAAGGAAAACCTCTGTCCCCTCATGGATGTGAGTCTTCTTGGTAAGACATAGGATGTCAGCAGTTTCTCTTCAAAAGGGGGGTCTTTGAAATTTGCCCCTTTGTACAAGGCTGTGGATGCACTGGCTGCCTAGAGGACACCACTCAGCAGCTCCAGTGGAGAGGACCAGGAGATGATGGGCATAGATGCAGCTCTGCCGTTCCTTAGAGAATTGCAGGGCTGCTCTTCTCCAAGTTCATGGTGTCCCTTGCCTCAGTTCCTAGGATGTGGAGCTCTAGGATGTGGAGCTACACTCTGTGGCTTGGCCATGCACAGGGACCAGGGCGGATGGAAACCCTGTGGCCGGGATGCATCAGTGCGAGCTGAGTGTCCACCTGCCAGCTGGGACATTACAGAAAAGACATCTCAGTAATAAGAGAGGCAAAGCTGGACAATTGCGGTGAAACTACCACAGCATAGTGGGTGGAGAAGTGCAGAGATCCTCATATTCTTATGCTACATAATGGATATGCTAGGTACTTGCTATTTGAAAAGAAGTTGTCAGGGGCACCTGTGGTTCACCTGCCATGGCACAGCTCCAGGATGCTGCCCATCTGTTGCTGTGAGTGGGTGCTTGGTTTGCATTTTCGTCTCCTTGAGGTTGTGAGGTGGGCTGGTGGCACAAGACGAGGATCAGAACGGTCAGCAGCCTCTTTTTCCTCTGGTTGTCTGCTGTGTTTCCAGGAAATGCTGCCGGAGCCTCCTGGCCTTGTCTAGCGCAGGGAGCACGTGGAAAGCCCTGGTACCGAGTTATCTTACCAAGTACTGAAAGGGGCTGGAGCTCTTTGAGGCCCCAGTCACCTGCATATTGGATTGTGTGCTGTGTCCTCTTCATGCACATCCAGGAGCTCACACATAGTGGTGGCCTGATGGAGACACCTATCACTTCCCAAGAGGACTCATGCTCACGAGAGGACAGGGGTCCCATAAATTAAAAGTAGGGGAAAAGGAAAACAAGAGTGGAGATGGAGTGGAGTCTGAAATGAGGCTTGACGTGTGCAGTGTAAACCTGGATGACCTAGATGCTGGTAAAGTTACCCAAGTAGGGCTGTGAATGTGGAGGGAAGCCTGGGTCTTAGCTCTGCCTGCACCTTAGCACTGCCTGAAGCACTCAGGGAAATGCCAGGACTGGATACAGAGCAAACAAACTAGCATCTCTGGGGGTGTGCTGGGCAGGGGTGTTTTCAAAGCCCCCCAGGTGGTTCTAACGCATAGCCAAGGTTGACAACATAAATGCTCTTTCCTGTAGGCAATGGGAAAGAGGAAACCCTGCAGGGCACAGCCAGCGGTGTCTTCAAGATGAAAGCAAAGTGCTCAGGAGAAAAAGCATTCTTGGCACAAAGAGAAGTGGGAACTTTCTTTTAAAGATCCCTGAAAAAGAGGTGAGAATAGTGAGTTTTCGGTGATCTCTTGAAATGACCCTGCGTGTAAGTGCAGTTCGGTAATCATGGTTTAGCGAGCTGTGAATAGGAAGAGTCTAGCCATGCGGATCTCTGCACATTTGGCATCCCAAACATGAGAACTCATAGATCCCTGAAAATACAACCAATGACTAATGACCAAGAGTTAAATGAAAAGTTAGATGGTGTCACTTCCCATCAGTGGGTCTCACTTCATTAAAACCCAGCACCCCCCTTAATGCAAATATTTTAAAACACCCCTTTTATAATTTTGAAACAGTATAATAAAACTTATCTACATCATAACTTTAAAAAATCAATGTAATGCTTAGATGTTAAGGAGAAATAAAAGCAATTTGTATTAAAATGATGCATTTCAGTGTGCAGACACTTGAGCTAAGCTGAACTACAACCTAGTGAGGTGAGCCAGTGCTTTCTGTAGACTGCAGGACAGCTGGCATGGGGTGGGTACAGGTGAGTCTCAGTGGCCATCCAAATGCCACTGAAGGATGAGTGACTCTTGGTCAAGGTTTCGATGGTAGCCAAAGGCCATTCTTCTCTCAATTTTCACAGTGATTGCATTCTTGAAAAATTTAGTGTGTATAAACTTGTGCCAACAATATATGTATTTTATATAAATGTGGAAGGGAGTTGGGGGGCTAGTTTCAAACACTGTAAATATGTTTCCATCAGTAGGAACGTCTGTGAGACCCCTGGAGGTCATGCAGGACAAGTCTTTACTGAGCAGAACTGCCTGTGTTGTTCCAGATGTCAAGTTTCGATGGCCTCCAATGCTAAATGCATCCTGATCACCCAGGGTCCCCTTCCCCACAGGTTCCGAAATGTTCCCTCAAGGGTCATACCCACCCCAGTGAGAACCATTGCTTTCCCTGCATT